GTAGAGCTTTTTTTAAACATAATTATTTCACTTTAAAAACATTCATATTTTCCTTATACAGATATAATATACGCAACTTAATATAAATGTGGTTTTATTTATATTTGACAATACATAGTAATATGACAAAAATGAGATTTCTAAGACGGAATCATTTACCACACACACACAAAAAAGCCCCAATGACTTATTTATTTTCCCTCTAAACTTTAAAACTATCATCAGGTGGCGATTTGCCAAAAAACCTTTTTTAAAAAAGTACTGACCACCACCAAGTAATGGATGTCTACTGGAAAGGGATATTTTATAGTTTATTCAAAATGACTGATTCTCCATCATTTTCCAGAAACAGAATGAGCTGAGGCAATGATGGCTTAATATTATGAACACTCTTAAACTTATGAAAGGCTTTGAATTTATGAAGAGGCCGTGGTCCAACAGACTGCATATCTACTGCTCTATGCAGAACATACTTCTGCACAAAAAATAATGCCCCTCATGGCTGGGCAGCCAGGCCAGCCCAGAGGAGCCCCAAATGCAACTACCTTGGACTAGTGGCACTGAGTTTAGCCATGAGGGGAAACACTTTCATGTACAAATGCACCCCGAACTCCAAGCAAGGCAGCAAGCAGAGGCTTCCCACATCCACAAAGAAAGCAAGGTTGGTGCTCCCTGACAGCTAATGTTTTCCAAAACCCCATCAGCAGACCTGCAGTGGGACTCATATAGAAACACAGGGGTGGTGGGGACAGAGGGAGGAGAGGCGGACAGGGGCTTCAGTGCTAATCGTTAGACTGTTCTCCTAAACAGAGTCTTTCCCTCCACACGTCCCAGAGGAAGGCCTGCCTCTTTGCTCGTTGCTCTTGACTAGAGCTTTTTTCAGACCCTGGGTCCCTATAAAGCGGAAAGCACCTCCATGGCATTTCCTCTTATTTCCCGGCCTAAGGAACAAAATGTCCTTTCCCCTCTAATTCATAATCAGTAATAAAAGGAAATCGACCTGGAGCAAAAGGGCTCTTCTGCGCTCTGACTCTTGCTACTGTCTCGCCAAGGCCTCCGTCACTCACTAAGCCCTCTCACTCGGGGTGCCTTGCCAGACCCTGCCACCAAGGTGCACGAGGAGGCCCTGTTCTCATGCAGCTCCATCAGACAAGACAGACACATCCGGTCCCCGTCAAAGCAGCAGACCGGCACTACTCTGATGGTCCAGCGTGGTGACTATGGCCCAGGCTCTCATCCCCCAGCTCCCAAAGACTCGCTGTACGGCAGGGGCACAACCCTTCATGTCTCTAAATCTCCATACCTTCATCTGTGAATGGGCAATAATAATTGTACCAAGCAGGGAGAAAATTAGAGGACATAAATGCTCTCAGCATAATGCTTGACAGAGAAAGTATTTACTGAATTAGAATTACAGGTACAAAACGGTAGGGAAAAAACTAGAACTTTGAATGTGGTGCTGAGGACTAAGCAAACTAAAAGCACGGTGGACCCCAGGGCAGCAGCGCTGACGCTGGATTTTGAAGAATGATGAAGAGTCCGCTAGACAAGAAGAGGAAGGGCATTCCAGCAAAGGCCTGGGGCTATGAGAGCCATCAGCATGGTAGGACTGACGGGTTACAGGAGCCAGGATCAAGGGTCAGCTGGGCAGATGGGCCCAGAGGAGATCACAGGAGTCTGCCCTTCATCCCACAGCTCCGGAAGGCCGGAGGAGAGGAGCCGGCCCAGACTGGCCCTGAGCTGTAACCGAGAGCAGTGCTATGTCTTTTGCTCCTGTATTCAGAAGACTGGCCAGAGCTGATGAGATGGGGCGGGTAGGCCTGATGGGAAGCAGCCAGAACAGACCAGAAGAGAGAGAACAGCTTAAAGAAAGGGTGTGGGAATGGAGTGAAACCAGGCTTCAGTTTAGATGCCATTTTGCTGGGAAGCCTTTCCTAACTTGGTGGATCTGGGTTAGGTGCCCTTCTCCGAAGGGCTCCCACAGCACCACAGACATCCCAAATCAGAGCTCTTCACACTTGCTCCTGTAGGTTCCTTCAACAAACTCATCAAGGCCAACTGTGGCAGCCCTTGCTCGGCGGTGGGAATACAGGGTAAACGCCACAGGGAGAGCGTCTGTGCTCTGCAGTGCAGTGGCGCTCACCTGCTGGGAGGGGATAAAGACAACAAGCAAGTAAACAAGTAACACAAACTCAAGTGCTTAGTGCTATGAAGAAGAAAACCACAGGGTAAAGGCATAAAGGGAAACAGAGCAGATGGGGAGGGGGATACACAGGGTGGTCAGGAACAGCCCCTCTGACCAAGGGCACCTGTGAGGAGACCATGACGCAATGAGGGAGCCAGCACGGGAAGACGTGGGAGGAGAGGGATGCAGGCAGAGGGAGGAATGTGTTCGCAGCCCAGAAAGGATACTAGTGTGGCTGGAACAGCGGGAGCAAGGAGGAGGGTAAAGGGAGCAAGGCTGGAGCCAGGCAAGGACCAGATCGCACACAGCCTGGCACTCTGAAGCATGATGGAGTGTCAACGCAGGTCTTAAGAAGAGTGACAGGGTCTGACTGACGCTGCACTAAGACCGTCCTGGCTGACTGTGGAATGTAAGCTACAGGCAGGGCAGGCGCAGATGTGGAGAGTCGGAGGGCTACGGCAGTATATTCCGGGTGACAATTATGGCAGCCGGCACTAAGTTATTAGCTGAAAAAGTAGTGAAAATGATCAAGTTTCAGATATATTTTGAGGCAGTGCTGGCAGAGCGTGCTGATATACTGGACATGGGATGAAAGGGAAACAGGAATTAAGCAGGACCTCCGGGTTTGTAGCCAGGACAACTGGGTGACTATGATACGCTGCCACCTGTCGAAAGAGTAGGAAGCGGCAGATTCTGGGGCACGAAGAGGAGGAGCAAATCAAGAGTCTGGTTTTACCCTTAGAACGTACAGCACCGAGAGTCAACCCTAATATCAACTGTGGACTTAGGGTCATGATCGTATATGAATATTGCCTATCAGCTGTAACAGATGTGCCCCACTTGCAAGATGTAACAATGGGGGATTAGGAGGAGGGGGAGATGTTGGGGTATATGGGGACTCTTGGTACTTTCTGCTCAATTTTCCTATAAACCCAAAACTGCTAAAAAAAATTTTTCTTTTTAAGTTTGGTTTTAGGCATATAAAATTTGAGAAGCCTGTGAGGTACTCAAGTGGAGATGCCAAGTAGATGGCAGGGTGTGAGAGTCAAGAGCTCAGGGAGACGACGGGGCTAGATAATGAAGTCGGATGCACTTTCAGTATAAAGATGGTACCATGAAGCCTGAGTCAAGCTGAATCCCCTAGAGAACAAGTGTAGATGAGACGAGGTCCGAGGACTACACCAGCAAAGGTGACTGAGAAGCAGCAGCCTAGAAAGAGGACAAACAGGAGAGGAGGAGTCCTGGCAGCCAAGGGGCGCAGGGTGCAGGGAGGAAGGCCTTCGTGATGGCCAGAGGTTAGGTGCTTCCCAGCAGTCAAGTACAAGAACTCCTGAAATGACCACCAGTTGAAGGTCACTGTCACTCTGACAAGCGATGGTGGTGGTGTGGCAGCTTAGGGGAAACAGGGTGGAAGGAAGGAGAGAGAGCAAGATTATACAACTACTGAAGATATCTGTTATGAAAGAGAAAAGAGACATGATCCCGCGGCTAGAGGGTATGTGGAATGAAGGGAAAGAATTTTAAGAGGTAAAATATTACAGCTTGTTCATATCCCGATGGGGATAATCCAGCAGGAAGAAGGAGATCCACATGGGCTGAAGAAAATGTACATTAGGAAGAAGGAGTATAAATTCTTGCAACGTCTTGAAAAGCTGAATAATCTTTTATTACTCAAAATGCTGCTTTGAAAAATTCCCCTTTAGCTTTCAAGAATTAGAATAATTCTAGAAACTAGTTGAAAGAAATCTTAGAGGCATATCTGTGTAGTTACTAGAAGTTGGTCCAAAGGTGAAATTTTTAAAATTGAGAAAATTTTAACATGCAAAAGCAAAGATGTTACAAAAATGTTATGAAAATGGTATCTTTTTTAAAAAATCTGCCTTCTAGATGATATACTGTAAGTCAAGGCAAAAAAAGGTCTAAATTCATCATTTTCTACAATTTCCACAAGTCGGACATACTTACAGGCTACACTGATTTAGTCTGTAAAATTTGTGTCGTGCGACACAGAGTCTCCACACATATTTTGCTGTTTCCATGTCTTCCTAGTAAATAAAATATGCATAAAGTAAATGAAAGCACATCTACAACTTGATACAGAGCTTTTCTGAGAACATGACAGATTCGGGTGACATTATATCCAAGCACCTTTAACAGACTGTGATTCTCATTTTCTAATACTGCACCCATTGTTCAAATGTTATAATTAGGATTTAAATCATAAAGATAAAAAAAAACTGCTCAAAGTGTGATTCTTGTATCAGTTTCAAAATGACTTAGAAATTTTAAAATTATGAAAATGTCGACTTTTATTATTGACAAAGAGCTACCCAAAGATATTTTAAACATTTGACTTCGAGACTCATAGCCTTTGTCAAGAGAACAGAAGTAACTATGAAATAGTGTTTCTATAGAGCTATTCCCTTTTCAGTGGAAATTAAGATTATTAGTGCTTACTTTCTCACCTATTTACAGTCCCTTAAATTTAATTCAAGATCATCAGATAGTATTCATCCAAAAACTCATTCATTCATTCAACATTATTTACTAAGCAACTACTTTTTGCCAAGTTCTATTATGTGAAATGGTATATTATAAAATTTTATGCTTTATAAAACTATAATTTTAATGCTACCACCCAAACATGCACACAGAAATGTTAACTTCTAGGAAAAATATTCTATACCAGTTCCTAATGTTTACTCACAGTTTGAAACTGGATGGTCTCCTCTTTATTTGCCAGCTCTAGTGCAAAGAAGGACTTATTATGGGACATGTTAGCAATATCATGCCACCTAAAGAACGACAGACAGAAAACGGCAATGTGAGTTCTCATGGTTTTACTGAGACAGAATATGTGACCCTTCCTTCTTGAGCTTAACGTATAAGCTAATGTTTTTTAATCATTTTAGAAAGAAAACAGTTGTTCTAATCAGCTAGCATGCATTTTCTAATTGAAGTGACCACAGCTAGTTGCAAAAAGTAAATGCACGTATACTAAATGAAGGCAGCGTATTTAAAATTGTAAAATCTATTTATCCTCATTTGCTGGACTACTTTGATCAAAGATCCCCTCTCAGCTGGTTGCCAATGCCTCCTTCATTCATTCAACAAACATTTTCAAGGGCACCAACTATGACGTACCAGAAATTGTGTTAGGGCCTAAGATACTAAGATGAGTAAGGAACAGTGCTTCCCCCAAAGGGGCATAGTTGGAGGGTGGGGCTGAGAGAGAGAATGTAGAAGCAAACAAATACTGTTAAATTCTGCAGGTATACAGGGCATAATAAGGCATAAAAGTAGAGGAGAGGTGCTCTGAAAGCTAGTGAAGCAGGGTGAAGATAAAGTTCAAATGCTAGGAACCCAAAGAGTGAACTATTCTGGGTGTGTTCACCAGGATTCAAACTTCGATTGCGAACTTTCTAACTGTATTTTACCATGTTCAGATTTTATATATTAGTATTTTATTATGTAACTATAATTTTATAAAAGGGAAAAATAGGTCTGGAAGAAAAAAATTTACCCCCTTTTATGCTTCTCTATTATGTTAAGCTTTATTTAAATTTATTTAAATAAATAAAATTTATTTGTAGGAATTTGGTGTTCAATTGTTAAACCTAAAGATTATTAGCATCATATTAAAGAAGGCAATTTCAGAAATCCCTATCCAGCGAGATGAAGGAAGCCGGCAGGATGTCCCCAGTTTTCCCGTGGCCTTCTGAGCAATGCCAGGGTCCTGCCCCTCTGGTGCAGGCCAGAGCCATTTTCTGACCGCCCCCAACTCAGTATGCTGGGAAGACGATGAACAGCTTGGGGACATGAGGGCAACTGCCAAAAGGAAGCCACCTGACCCACTGCAGGACAGTCTAAGCGTGGGGATCTGCTCCTCAAGTCAGGTACACACTTCCGTGGTCATCATCACCATGGAGAATTCAGGGCCCAGAAGGTAGTAAAGCAAAGGAAGTGAAGGTAGAGATGTCAGCTTAGAGAAAAACAATCTGAAAAGGTAAAACTAGTTCTAAGGAAGAAATAGCAAAAATGGTTTAGAAAGTTTTAATAGTGGGGGGAAATTAAATTCCTCTTAATAAAAGAAGCTATTTAAGACAGTGATTAAGAGTCCAGCTTGAAGTGGAGAATCTGAGTTCTTGGTTATGCCAGTTCAGAACTGGGTGACGCTGGACAAGTCACAGCTTTTCTAAGCCTCAATTATCCCGTATGGAAAATGTGGTAATCCCCTCTGCTCGGAGTTGCTGTGAAGATTATCAGAGAAAACACACAGAAGGTATTCAGCATAGTACCTGGCTCATAATAATCAACCAAGAAATGGTAAACCCAAAGGGACCAAAACACAAAAATGCTATGTTTTACCACTTAATGAAAAGAATATAAACTAAGTTTTTCATCAAGAGACAATAGAGTCAAAGTAGAGTAAAATTGGCAATATTTCTATGAAATGATACTTTGGATTTTCTAGACTATGGATTTTAAGGAATGAAAAGGCAGGGATTGGACAACATGGTCTAACTTACTATCTATAAGATATAAATTGGGACACAGAATACTGAAAAGGAAATTAAATCACCTGCAATCTCACTGTTCAGAGTCGGTCACTGTTAGCACATTACTATATACTCTTTGTGTCCTTCTTACTAGATACATTCTAAGATTTCCGTAAACGAATAGCATCACATTTGTATAATCAAGAAAAAAAATGAACGTTATAAAAAGTAACTGAAGGGAGGAGGATATAGCTCAAGTGGTAGAGTGCATGTCTAGCACACACAAGCTCCTGGGTTCAATCCCCAGGACCTTTTCTAAAAATAAATAAATAAACTTAATTACCTCCCCCCACCAAAAAAAAAAAAAAACCAAAAAAGTAATTGAAATTTGATTACATATTGGTATTTTAGGAATTTTTGTACAAACGAGAATCAGAAAAAGACCTAGATTTGCCCCAAGAAATAGCCCTAGAAACCAGAGATCAAATGAAAAATTCACATCAAAACAAAGAATGGCCTCAGTATGGTAAGTAAAGGTCACATATTTTTAAGCATTTCACAGGCACCCATCACTATAAGCACTATATTCTGCAACTTGGTTTTGAAGAATCTTATAAAAACCACCACGGCAGTGGGGTGGCATTTTATTCTAGGAAGGGCATGTTTCTATTTCCCAATCAGACCCGGGGGTGACTTACCTGTGAGCGCTATAACTAGCATAGGTACTAAAAATACCACCAACAGGAACCACAAAGCCAACAGAAAGATGTCAGAAAAATACCTAAATATCACAGGAGGCCTTCCATTCTTATGTTTCACAAAGATGCCTTCGAGACACGCTCCGATGGATATGTCGCTGCCTTGGCTATCCTGAAAGGAGAAAGCGCAACAGGAAACACTCAGGCGGCAGAAGCAAAGACCTACAACAGCTACATCTACTTCCCTCCCTGTGTTTCCCAGACACAGAATGTCCAGAAGACCTGCGTGAAGGGAAAAAGTCTGCAAGGTGTAAACGTGCCCTCTTGTATATATGTATGAAAACAGAGTTGGGCTCCTTAAGGAACACTATTTCAAGAGCATTTCCAAGAACGAACTTCGAAACAGAAATGTGTTTTACTACAAAATTTGGTCACAAGGACCTCAGCTTTTAGGTTTGCAGACTTTTGCACGTCTTCAGCCTTTGCACAGCAGGGCGCCCCTGCGCTTGCCCACTATTCTCTTAGAATTATTCAGGTTACTTTTGGAGAGCCCAGTCCTTGTGCCAAGCTTACCTTCGCAGGGTAGCTCTCCTCGCCGTAGCCATCCATTCTCTCCACCTCCTGCATGTACAGCATTTCAGCATCAGGAGCAGTGAGCCCTCTGCAACCCAGAAGAGGTTAGTCAGATTATTCACAAAAACTAAAAAATTAAAAAAAAACAACTATGCATCAATTTGGTGTAAAACATCATAAACATTTCAAGTTTCTAAGCATTGTAGTTAGTTACATCCATCTATCAATATTTACTGAAAATCAACTACATGCAAAATAACTGTTCTGAATGCCGAGGGTTAGTTATGTAAGATCCTATCCCTTGTACTCCAGGCAGGCAAGGGGAAATGTAGGAAATAAAACAACTGCCTAAAAAACCTTCAGTGAAAGCTAGAATCCTTTCTAAACCACCGAAGTACCAGGCAATACTAAGCATTGTGAGCTAAATGCCAAATGGTAAGTACTGGAAGTAAGGGTTAGAAGATGGAAATCCTTCTCAGCTCCAGTGACAGAATGACACGGATGGGTGGGTACGAAGGCGGTGTGGGTAAGGCCGGCACTCAGCTGCATGGACACCTGCCTCTCCAGCCTCATCGTCTGCTGCTCCCCTACACCACAAGGAACCCCACACTGTGACCAACCCTAACGGCACTTCTTTGAATAGCCCATATGCCCTGATGCCTCCAGGCTTTGCACATGCCAGTCCCGCTCCCTGGTATACCCCTCACCGACTTGTGCACCTGGTCAATCCCTAATATCCCTCAGGTCTCGGGCTTCTCTGTCACCTCCTGTGGTTGCCTGGAGCCTAAGTCAGATGCTCCAGCTCTGAGCAGATCCATCACATTCTGTGCACACCTCTCCCCCGCACTCATTATGAGCTGTAATTACTATTACAGCGGGCTGTCCTGCCTCTCCTATAAGGCTCCAGAACAGGGAATATATTCTTTGATGGCAGGTCACTGTTCTGTTTACCTTTGTGCCATAGCATCTGGCACTCTGCCTCATACAGAGTAACAGCACTAAACTATCTTTTAATGAGATGTACAAATGAATGAATGAAAATAACAAAACACAGAGTGATGTGTGCCTGAGGGATTAACTATGCTGCAAGAAGAGGTTCATATGGACAGCAGAAGGTAAAGCTGGAATGGCAGGATTTAACCAACTTGTGGGAAGCCTTTAATCCCCGGAGTAATGAACTCAGGCTAGCAGAAAGCAAGAAAAGACTCGTGAACATTTGAGGAGAAGAAGGGAAATAAGGTGAAAGGGATTATTTTAGAAAGATTAATCTTTTGTGAGTGACTGTATGGATTCGAGTGGAGACAGACTAAAGACAAAACGTTATTTTTAATGGGAGGAGATGAAAGACGGTTACAATTAGACAGACCTCGGTTCAAATCCCACCTCTACCACCTGTAACTTTGGGCAAGTTATTTAGTCTCTGTGAGCGTGATTTTCCCAATCTGTAAGGAGATAATAACATTTACCTTAAAGAGTGGTTATAAGAATGTAATGATATATAAAGTCGTCTTAACTGCGTGGTATTCAGTTCAGACTAAGACCTAGCCTTCTCTAAGAGAGGGTTCTTCTTAAGGTCAATACATAGATTCCCAAAGAAAGTCATTGTCTACCCAGAGGCAGGGGTAGAAAGCACCACAGTTCCCAGCACAGCTTACCCAGAGGGCTGGAGGGGGGCCGGGGGTGCTGTACCTGCCACATCATGAAGGAAAACAAGTCTCCCTAATCTTACATCAACCTACACAGGGCGAGGTCACCACCGAAACTCTTCATACACGGCAGGAAGAACTGGCACACAGACTGGCTGCTTTCAACTTTCCCAGTTTCATCAATGATCAAACATGAACAATAAATGAGTTAACGTGGGTAAGTGCTCAGAGGAGCATGGAGCACACAGAGAGTGCTCTGCAAATGTTGGCTCCTCGTAACTAGCAGTGGTTGCAGCAGCAGCAGCAGCAAAGGCTGAATGGTGTCAGCGCACGGTTCAAACTCAAACAGGCGTTAGTTCTACACTTCTTCCGTTTCTCGGCCTGACCTGTATTTCTGATGCAGCAAGGCCACTTTTTGGGTAGCTTCTTCCAGTACCTTTTCATCTTGTAACCACCCCTGAAGAAAACACACTGCGGTGAGTATGTAAACAAGCCACCCAAATTTCCTAGAAGAATTCATGCTGTTACTGACTCTTGTCAACCAGCAGGCAAAACTAGGACTCTATTAATATGTGAAAGCTTTGCTTAAGTATATAATTATAATCTAAGGAATTAAGCTTCTGCTCAGGAGCCAAAACACTTGCCCTCTTCTCAGTTCATCTCCGAGAAAGTTTCAGATGGTTTATTTCAGGTTGGTAACACATCCATCAGCCAGTGCCAAGCCCAGCACATAATAACATCTTGTGCGTTCCCTGGCTGGCTGCGTGGACACTCAGGAGAAGCCTACCACCTCCTGTAGCTGTTCCAATGCACCGTTTTCCCGTCAGTTCCATCAGTAGGGACTTTAAAAACTAGAAGGTAGTGTCTTTCTTTCATCTACTCCTTAAATTGCTGACGAGAAACCAAATTCATTTCAGCACAACTTTATGAGGTTTTGAGCCTTCAGTTAAAAGCAAACCTTCTGTGTGGTTCCTCAGAAGCTGGAAATGAGTCCCTCTCTTTAAACTCACATCCAAACACAAAATGACTTTCTCTGGCTGCGGCCCAGTGACCACAGATCCTTCAGTTTCTGTGGGTTTACAAGGACCAGAACACCACAACAGGGAAAGCCTCTGAGTTGTTGTTTATAAGAAGGAATTGATTTTTTAACGCTATTCCTGCCTAGTAAGTCTACCATACGGACTTCATTTCAGGGGTTATTAAGGGTATAGAAATAAACTGTTTATTAAAAGGCCCAATGTCAAAAGAATTCTTACCACAGGAAACAAGGCAAATTTCTGAAGGAAGTCCTGGGATTCATACTGATCAAAGTCACCAAAGTCAGCTATATAAAATGACAAATATTCACATGTCAATTATGTTTAATTGGAAGCAAACATGCACAACTAAATTCAATGTGCAGTAGGCAGATGGTGTGCTTATGATTCGGAAGTTTTCAGAAGTCAAATTTGCCTTACAGCTTATAAAGTATGTATTTCTAAAATATCTTTTTAAAAACATTAATTGTGTAAATGTAGGTGTCTTGACTTAGAAAAAATGCCTTTAATAAAGTGAAAAAACAAGTTAAAATCATATATAAATGACTTCATTTTTTATCACTAAAAAATAAACAAAACCTACCCTATAATCACATGTCCTTACTTATGCCCAGAAAAATGTCAGGAAGAAACCAAACAGTTCATAGTAGTGGTTGCCTCTAGGGGACAGAATTAGATCATCTAAACATGTTATAGGATGTATTTGTTTAGAAACTTTGAGGGTTGTTAAAAAAATTGACAGTTCAGCAAAAAACTTATGGAAAAATTAACTCTTAAAGCCAAAGACGACACTTAAGAAGATTCAAAGTACCTTGAAAAGGAATGTGGCTCCATATATATCAGGCATCTGTTTGTCTAGAAATGATACATGTCTCCATGCCTGCTAGTATCTGAAGGGATTTTATTCATAATTCTTCTGATTAAATTTCAATTCCCAAGACTAAATGTCAGTTATCATTTGAAATAATGCCCATTGTAAGTCTTCCCAAAGTATATTACAGGCACGTAAATATTTGTCACGTGAAAAATGACAATTAAACAACTCAAAAATACTTGTGAAATGCAAAACTATTTATTATGATTGATGCTCTATAATCTAGGACAACTATTTAAGAAACCAAACAAATGACGCATGCTTACAGTATAAGCAAACACGACCTCCTTGTTTGACTGATCTTTCTTCCGAAAATACTAGCTAGCCGCAGACCCAGTCCTTGAACTAGAGGAACACGCAGCACGTTGAATGCTGTGTGCGTGTGTGCGTGTGTGTGTATTTCCTCTCTACTTTTGGTCTGTTTGCTTGGTTGACATTTGATAACATGCTTAACCTTCCTGAAGGCTGAGGTAATCCACTGAGGTAACCCAAGCTCATTTTTCCCCACAAGGAAGCCCCTTAGATAACAGAGTAACATATCACTAATGTAGAAAACTACTCTATAGTACTTTCTATAAAGTCAGTTACTTTAAGAATCCCTTGCTATTTCTGTTTGACACACATTTTAACCTGATAGATCTATTACATTATCAACTGCCGTTACTTACCTTGAACAGCTAAGCCTGCTAGCTGAATTGCTTGTTCTAATGTACAAGGAATGTTTCCTTCCAAGATATCTTTCTTCAGCTGCAGATAATACTGATACCTATTTAAAAAAAAAGGTCAATTTTTAAAAGTCAGTATCAGTATTATCCCAATTAAGACACAATGCATGTTATCATAATTTCGTAGAGGAGCATAAACTAGCCAAAATCTTAAGCTCAGATGGTTTCGAAGAATGACAGAAATGTCCCTGACTGTATCTATACCTGCAAACACACACACACACACACACACACGCGCACACACACAATACAATCAATTTATTGAGTCACTTATCCTTAACTGTATTTATTTCAAAGCTACAAACTACTATAATCTAGAAGACAGCTGGTCATCTGTCTGATACCCTGTAGTAAAACAGTCTCTGAGTTTTGTTCTTCTTAGATAAGAGAAACACAGAATCAATGGCCAATCTTTACTTTAAAAACTCTAATTAGTAACTTGGTGATGTAAGACTTTCCCAGCCCTGGAAAGTAAAGCCAGAAGGAACCGGTTCCTGATAATTCAGACCAGGCTTATATTAAAATACTCTTTGATGAAACACCAAACAGAATGGCTACTAAGATGCTTTCTTAATTCTCCTGTAATGGGGCTTTACTTCTGTTAACGCTTTCAACATATAGGGCACGAGTAACCAGCACAAGCTTTAGTCAGGCAGACCTAGGTTAAATTCCAGATCTCCAACTTAGCATTTTGCCCGAACCTGGGCAAGTCATAATCTGTGGGTTTAAATTTCACTAGGAAAATAGGGTACCATTACCCCTTCACAAGGCTGAACATATCAAGGCATATATGTAACAGTCTTAGTTAGCATGATTCCACTAACACATAGCTGGCATTTAATAAACAGCTGTTGTCATTACTATCAGCAGTCATCTACTTTCAGCCAACCATCAATATTTCATCTGTCAATTCTCCATTTTGATAAAGGTCTACAGTGAAGATGTATTCTGCCTTCCTGTTATTTATTCACCTAGGTAATTACTAGGGCCTACTTTGCATCAAGCATTGTTCTAGATGCTGGGGATACAGTGTTCAATGAAGATCCACCAACCCTCTGCCAATACAGTCTACAGAACCATCTTGAATCCAGAATCTCGTCCAGGTTTGATGTCTATGTTTATTGTCTATGAAGCACAACTCAGTTACAGTTCACAACTGAATTCCCGAGAGCCTGCCCCTTTAATTATCCCATGCGCGTCCTTACATCACCCTATTTTAGCTGCCTCTGAGGTTTCCATTCTTTGTTTTGTCAGAACCTGACCAAAACACCATCCATTTTAATAAGAATCATTTAGATCCAACTTATCCCCTTCTACCTGCTCGTAGCAGAATCTGTAGATTTCCCTCAATCGGCAAACAGAATGCTGGTAACTCTGAGATCTTGCCAAAGAGGAGACCTCGAAACTTTCTTCGGGTGGCTCCTTTCAAACATCTACTTAAAGGCTGTATTTATAGAAGTCTATCTATTGAGTATGCTGTCCACATATTCCACTCTCAGTATTCTTGGTTCTCTCCTTAAATCAAATCACTGGAAAGCAGCACATCTGGACCACATTAACTTAGCCTCTCACAGAATTTTTTTTCTTTTTTTGCCATACATTGTATTTTTGCTGTTATGAGAGTTGATTCCTCCACATATTCTCATTGCTGGTTCAATGTCTTTTACATAAAATCCCCCCAGAAAATTCCCTTTTAAGTGATAATACTAGGAAAATCTGTCATGTTTGCAAACTGGGATGCTCTTTTTTATCAGATAATGAAGTTTGGGACTCATAATATTCCTTCTGTTGCCATGACTGCCGTGAAATGCAGAGCTAAAATCCAGGCAGAGCCAGTCACCGACAACCCTCGTGCTACCCTCCTGGCCACTTTCTCCACCGTTTAACAGCCACCTTTTACTGATGAGGAGCTGGAGCTCAGAGATTACACAGTACACTCAAATCCACAGGGGAAGGCCCCACTGGGGTTTGAATCCAGGTCCAAATGACCCCAAAGCTCATGTTCTTAACTGCCACAAATGTCCAGTTAGAGATTTTTCTAGTATTTTCATCTTTATTTTTTAGAATTTTTATACTATAGTCCATAGAATACAATGGTTGAGAGCAAGGACTCAGGAGCTAGCCTGAGTTTAAATCCCAGGCCACTGCACACTACCAACGTGACCTTGGGCAAGGGAGATATTAGCCTTTCCGTGTCTTGGTTTCCTCACCTACAAAACAGAGACAGTAACAGTACCTACCTCATAGGATTTGTTGTGAGAATTAAATGAATTAACAAGTAGAAAGAGCTTGGGATAGTGCCAAACATACAGTAAAGAACAGAAGTGGTTGCTTTTATTATCTTTCCTTATATTATCCCACTGTCCCTAAAGTCCTTTAATGGAAGCAACCAGGATGTGTGCGTGTGTGTGTCTGTGTGTGTGTGTGTGTGTGTGTGTGTATTACAGACCATATTATATCTTCAATAAATGTTTCAGTACATGAGTCAAAGTGGTCCGCTGCTGTTTTCTCCTTTTGGCTCTGCTTCTCTCTTCCATATTTGTATCTCAGATCTGTTCTATAGTCAAGGCATGCTTATCCCTACAACGTGATTCTGGATTTTTGGTTTTTTGCATCTTTTCCCAGTAATCATCTGCGAACTCGGTACTTAAAAAGAATATTTCACAAACACAGGGCAGTACCAAATTCTCCCATCCTCTGGGCAGTGTGTTAAATATCGTATGAAAGGCAAAGTTAAAGAAAATATGGGTTAAAAAAATGGGTTTAAAAATCTAAGAAAAGATATGTACACAAATAACTACAATGAAAGGCTATGACAACTGCCATCTTGACATAAGTACAAGCAAATTCTAGGACAGAGCTCATTCCAGCCTGGTGAGGGGAGGAGGGGAGGATGTCACAGAAGCTTTATCGAGGAGGTGCCTTTTGAACTAAGATTCAGATGAACAGGATTCCAGTACATAAATATAAAAGACAGGGGTAAGGCACAAAGGTGAAAAGGCATGCAGCATGTTCAGGACCCTGCAAGCAGTGAACTCAGCGTGGCTTGAAAGTAATGTTAAAAACAGGGTTAAAAAGATAAGGCAGTTGTGGATTTTGGAGAATGTGAAAGGCAGGCTCAAGAATGCAAATTTTATTCCTTGGTTTTTTTTTTCTTTATCTTCAAGGGGAAAAAAAAAAAGACCATTTAGTTCCTCTATGCCATTCCCTCATACATTCTTCCCCTTCTGCCTTTGTCCCGTCTAAGTGCACTAATTGGCCAAAACCCCCTGACCTCCAACACCCCTCCATCTGCCCACTGACCTCCCCCACCTGTGCATACACGGTTACTGGGGTCAGAACTGGAAGGGCCCTTCTTCCACACATTTCCTTGATGAGTAAACACAGATTTTGTGTCTAATTGTTTTTTTAAATCTCTCTCATTTCACTGTTACAAAGATCAGAAACAAATCAACAAAAACATGACAGATGACATCACAATAAGAAGAGTTCACAGCCAGGGTGAAAACATCATTCTGTCCTTTAATCATTCCCTTGTGCCTAATGAACCCACAACTCGTGCAACATGCAGTAAAGCACATACCACATACCAGAACCTCCACGTAATACTGTGGCTAAAAATGTGGGGCGAGAGGGCAAAGTTTGGTCTTATCTCCTGACTTCAACCTTAGTTTCACTTTTTAATCCCACTAGATTTCCTAAAAACAAACAGCACATTATTTCTTACCTGGTAATCTCCTGCTGCAGCTGGGAAACAGAAGGCACATAAAACACCACTCCAAGGTAGACAGTAGGTTCCAATGCATATTTATCCAGCTGCTTCTTTAGAGGTTTTTCCAAATCTACCCACCGGCGCTGATTTTGCTTGTTGTAGTACCAGAGGCTGAAGTAAGTGATCTGGAAAGAGGGAAGGTCACTGAAGGAGGCAGAAACGCCCAAAAGAATTGCTCTAAACCATGACCTGGGATCAAGTGACCACAATCTCCTACTGCTTCTCTTCTCAGAAAGGGACCACAGCAAAACCTGAAGGGGGAGAAAAGGCCAGAGCTTCCCGTATCTAGATACTCATTCAGGAAATAGAAGCAAAAAGTCAATTATCCTTACAGACAATTTCTTGAAACCTGCACAGAAAAACACCTAGACGTCAGAATGCAGCAGGTGCTATACAATCTTACACAAGTTCAACAAAAAACATACTGAAAAAGTTTAGTTTTTAAATTATCAAAATACTAAATATATAATAATTAATATTTTTTAATAAGCATAACTGGGGTTCTACCTAGTTGAATTCTGACTAGATTAGTGTTCATCCAACTTATCACTACACTCAATTTTGGCTTCTATAAATAAATAATTTCACGTAAATATTACAAATTCTAGTAATAAAGATGCAATTGCAACTCTTTTTTGTCCCTCAAAGTTCATTAGATACAAATTTTAAGCAACTATAATGCTGTAGGTAAATACACATACAGACAGATACAGTTACACACACACACACACACACACACACACACAGAAAAGCTATACCTAAAGCAGTAAAATAACTTAAGTGTCTTACCCAGAGGTTTACGAAAAATACCCAGATATTAGCATTCAGATCTAGGGGAAGGGTGTACAGCTCAAGAGGTCCTGGGTTCAATCCCTAGTACCTCCACTAAAAATAAATAAATAAGTAAATCTAATTACCACCCGACCAACCCCCCCAAAAAACATCTCAGATCTCAGCTGATGTGTAACGAAACTGTTCAGGTAAACCAGTCCTAACCCTGGGCTTGGTCATCACCTTAAAGGGTACTAATGCACTTGAGGGTTGAAATGACAGCCTTGGGTCCCTGCTAATATTCACCTCAAAATCAATTTACAGACCAAGGCAACTGGAAAAATCACTGCTTTGTTCTAGACTCAGGAGCAACAGTGTCGAATAGAACTTACTACGATGATGGGACTGTTCTGGATCTGCACTCTCCAATGTAACAGCCACGAGCCACATGTGCCTACCAAGCACCTGACATGTGGCCACTGCAGCTTAAGAACTAAATTTTTATGTTACTTAACTTTAATTTACTTAAATAGCTGCAAACATCTAGTGGCATTGTACTGGATAATACAGCTTTAGAGTAACAACAAATAAAATGAGAAGTAATAATACTCAAGCTACTTCTTTAACCTGTAATCCTCAAAAAAAAGTTTTCAACTTACAGAGAAAAAGAGTAATTATATGAACATGTCCTCTATATTAATTTCATCTTATAATTTTCTACAAGGAAAGAAAGACCTGTCAATAGAAAATGTTGCTTAAAGTCTGAAGTCCTGTTTAATTTCTAACACTTGCTAGCTGTGAAGTGGAAAGAATCAGTCCAATTGAGTTTTCTCAGGTGTGGAATAAGGTAATACCTCCCTCATAATTCCATCATGAGACCTAAATGAAAAACGTATGAATGCATTTTGTCACTAGAAAACCACTATTTTTTTTGTTTAGTTTTACCTACTCTGCTAAACACCAACAAAAACCAATTAAAAGATCCCGCAAAAAAATAAAAAAAAAACCCTCTTCTAATTACATCTATTTAGATTGATTACAACATAACACATTTCTGTTCATTTTATTTGTGTTTTGTGTTCTTAGAACTGGACTGCATGTATCATGTTAGGTCTATAACACATACCACTGCTATGCACTTAATTCTACAAATATTTATTTTTTGCCAAAAACACAAAAGACAAGTGGTACAGTGCATGCCTAGCATGCACGAGGTCCTGGGTTCAATCCCCAGTACCTCCTCCAAAAATAAATAAATAAGCCTAATTACCACACACCCCAAAAAAATTTAAAAAAAAACCACAAATGACTAGGCTTTCTTTAGGATCTAAAATTTTGGTCATAATGGTATTTCACTTTTAACCAAAACTGAAAGGTCTTAAAAATACTGTTTGTATACATTATTTTTCCTTTAAATCTAGTTGGACTTGAATGCTCCAAACACAGAATTTTAAATAGAATTATAAAACTACAGGTTTATTATATAATTTGTGGTTGCCCCTTTTGTGAGCTGATCATGACATAATTATAAGAAAATACCTGAATACCTACTAACATTCTAAATAAAGCACATTCTGAAAGAAATAAACTCTTAAAATGTGTTAAGTGTATTTTAGCAATGCATTTATTACTCATGTTACATATGGATAGAAAGTGAAAAGAAATAGGTTTGTGAAATTCCATAGTTTTTCACAAATTATATACCTATAAAGAAGTAGAACTTTAATTGTGCAAATAGCTGAATATAGATTTAGCAAATTACTTGCTGATTAGCTATTTTAGATATAGGAGAGTCTAAGATTTTAGACATTTTGAACATTAACCCATTTTATGTTGCAGTAAAGTATCTGCTTTGGTACTTGTCACTGTGTTCAAGTTCTATCTTAAGCAGTAGTTAAGGTTAGCCAAACTAAAGTTCATGTCTTGTAAAATACTCCCAAGGAGGTATTATATTTCTAAAATTGCTGCTATAAATGTTTATAAATGTATGAGTAACTAAAATCTCATAACACTACAATCCTTGGATTCAATGCTTTCTTAGAATTTCTACACATACAAAATAAAATAACACCTGATTCCACAAGATTTTTTAACTGTAATATGGTTTGTTTCTAAGACAGATAGGTAGAGTTTGAGCAACAAAATACTGTGATTAAATTTTCATCAGGCATAGAATTGTTTGTGTAAGTCCATTTGGGGGGATTTGTTCAGGATGATAATCTTGAGAAGCTGGGTAATAAACTTTTCAAAATAATTTAAAACCCATCCATAAAGCAAACAAAGGGCGGGAAAAAAATCAGAGACAAGTAGAGAACAGTTCTTTCCTCATTCTATAGGCCAGCATTATCCTGATATCAAAACCAGATCAAAGATACCACCAGAAAAGACAACTATAGAGCAATATCCCTCATAACCATAGATGTGTAGATCCGCAACAAAATACTAGCAAACTGAATTCAACAGCACACTAAAAGGATTATACACCATGACCAAGTGGGATTCAACCCAGGAGTGCAAAAGTGGTTCACACAAAAACCAATCAATGTGATACATTACCAATATGAAGGGAAAAACACAATCAACAAAATTGACACAGAAAAAGCATTTGACAAAACCTAATGCCATTTCATGATAAAAATACTTAGAAACCTAGGAATACAAGAGAACGTCTCAATTTCAAGAGCATTTATGAAAAACCCACAGGGAACATGACACTAAATGGTAAAAGAGTGAAAGACTTTCCCCTAAGATTAGGAACAAGACAAGTATGCTCATGCTAGTCAACGCTGTACTAGAAATTCTAGCCAAAGCTCCAAGGCTAACTATAAAAGGTCAAAGAGAGGGCAATGGCCAACTTCCTGGGAATCCCAGCCCCTTTCCCAAGGTAGTTAAAATGGTCCTCCCACTTGTTAGCATATGAAGCTACCAAGCCCATAAAAACTGGCAACATGAGCCTCGTGGCCACTTCTCTTGCTCCCTCCTTTTTGGAGACGGCCTGCACTCTAGTCTATGGAGTGTGTACCTAATTCTACTTTAACCCGAGCACCCAACCCCCACACCTTGTGGCCTTTCTCAAAAAAAGTCCCTATCAAAAAAACAAAAACTAACAATGACAAAAAACTCCTCAAGCCAATAAACTCGGCAAAGATGAAGGATTCAAGATCAACTTGCAAAACTCAGTACGGATTCTGTACACCAGCAATGGAAAATTCAAAAGAGAAATTAAGAAAACAATTAACTTATAATAGCATCCAAAAGAATAAAACATTTAAAAATAAACTTAAACCAAAGAGGTGAAAAGATGTGTATAGTAAACAATACAAAACATGGCTGAAAGAAATTAAATGGAAGAGTTCTCAAATGGAACACTTAGTATTGTTAAGATGGCAACACTATCCAAAGTGACCTACAGATTCAAATGCAATACCTACCAAAATTTCAACAGCCTTTTTCACAGAAATGCAAAAGCCAATCCTCAAATTCATGTGAATTGCAAGGGACTCCAAATAGGCAAAACAATATAAAAAAAGAAAAAAGTTGGGAGATCCACACTTTCTAATTTTAAAACTTACTGCTAAGCTACAATAATCAAAACAGTGAGGTACTGGTATAAGGAGAGACATTTAGACCAATGATACTGAATTGAGTCCAGAAATAAACCCATGCTTTTATAGTCAACTGATTTTCAACAAGAGTACAAAGACTATTCAGTGGAGAAAAATAGTCTCTTCAACAAATGGTTCTGGATCAACTGAAGACCCACAATTAAAAGAATAAAAATTAGACCATGACCTCACACCATATACAAAAATTAACTCAAACTGGATCAATGTCCTAAATATAAGAACTAAATCATAAAACTCTTTGGAAGAAAACATAGGAATAAACCTTCACAACTTCATGAATTTGGAAATAAGATTCTTGAAGTGCCAAAAGCATGAACGACAAAAGAAAAAACAGATAAATTTGACTTCATCAAAATTAAAAACTACATGCATCAAAGGACCAAATCAAGAAAGCAAAAAGACAACCTACAGAATGGGAGAAAATATTTGCAAATCATATATTTGATAAGTCTGGTATCTAGAATATGTAAAGAACTCACACAACAACAACAACAACAACAACAACAAAAGAACAAATAACCCAATTTTAAAAACAGGCAAAGGAGTTGAATAGATATTTCTCCAAAAAATATATATAAATGGCCAAGAAACATGAAAAAATGCTCAACCACCCCATCTTTAGTGAAATGCAACTCAGAACCACAATGAGATACCACTCCACACCCATTAGGATGGATATAACTTAAAACAGAAAATAAGTGTTGCTGAGGAAGTAGAGAAGTTAGAAC